CAAGAATCCTTTTCACAGTAGCCTTGGTACATACATGTCAAACATGTAGCTGTAAATTAAAATGTAGTATAATTTTGTTTTGTGAATAAGAAAGAAAAATGATGATCTAAATAAAATATATACATGGTAAAAAAAAAACACACAGAATGATTGCTATAGTTTTATTTCAAAAATGCAAGATGATCTTATATTTCAAAGAAATAAAGGTAATATATTTCATAAACATTTTATAAACATATTACATTCCCATTCATTCAAAATGAATAGAAACATAACATCAAACTTAAAAAACTTTACAAAAAAAGAATGTGATGGAATTACATTAATTTGAGAGTGGTGATGACAAAGCTACAATAAACTTCATATCTAAGAATAAATATTGAAATGTATCTCCCTAAAATGGGAATACACAGAGATCAATCATGGTAACTTCTATTCAGTATTGGATGTAAAATTCTGATCTGTAAAAAGCCACTTAAAAAAAAAGGAATTGTACTTGGAAAGAAGAAACAAAGTGTGATTATTTACAATGAAGTACTTATTTACATCAAAATTAATGATTTTTATATACATGTACTAGATTCCTATTTTAGATTTATAGAAAAATACATAAAGAGAGAAAACACATTGCATATAAATCAATGAGCCAACTTCACTTGTATTGCTTTTTACAGCACTAAAGATTGCTAACAGACGTTCTAGACATTTTAAAATAAGATGCCATTACAAAAGCATAACATCATTTCCCTATGACATCTGTAAAAAATACAAAGCATAATAACAAAAAAATGAAATTTAAGGAAGCATTAAGGTTGATGTAGACTGAAAGAATAAATATGGTAAAGATGACTAAGCTCCAAATTACTTTAAAGATTAAATGTTTTCAAACATCACAGAATTCTTAAAAAAAAACTTTATTGAGATATAATTTATAAAGCATAAAATTCAACCCTTCAAAATGTATAAATCAAAGATATTTAGCATATTCAGAGTTTGCAAATGCCACTACTCAGCACTGAAAAATGTTCATTACTTCATAAAGAAACAGGGAACCCATATGTGGTCAGTTCCTCATCCCATCTACCCTCAGTCCCTGGCAACCCCCAGTCCAGTTTCTGTATCTAAGAGTTTGCCATAAAATATAAATGGACTCACACAAAATATGATCATTTGAAGGTACGAAGCCACAAATGAAATGCTGAACAAAAAATGTAATGCTATCTGTACTTTTTTTTGTGTACTGTATATTTGAACAATTATTTTTTAAAAAAAGTCATAAAAACAAAATCAATTTTAAGATTCATTTCTTGAAATAGAATGTTATCCAGGAAAGGCACATATTAGATAACACTAGCTGCAATAAATATTGGCAAGGATGTGGTGAAACATGAAGTCACCTACGTGCTGGTGGGAGCGCAAACTGGTTAACAACCAGAGTCCAGCTCCACTGAACAGGGTTGAGAGAGGAATCTGATTGAATGAAGGAAAAAACAAAGAAATGACAGGCACAAATAGAGTTTAAGAGAAGCAGGACCCAGGGACCCAAGGCCTCTCATTTGTGCTCAAGTGTCCTGAGTGTCTGGTGCAATTCGTTTTTATTGGTACAAGCAGCCCCCCTCCACCCTCAGGTGAGTTACTAGACAATGAAGGATTCTCTTATCATTTGGCCTTGTCTGGCACACATTCACCACCCAGGTTCTGTACCATCAGGTGATTCTGTTTCTTTTTCTAATCTAGTTTGTCCCCCAGACATAGCTTCGTAGACAAGAAAAAACTTCCTGATCTGTACATGAGCCTGTCTTCCCACCACGCTGATCAGTTTGTTGGCCATGACCAGTTTTCTAGCCACGACCTTGATGTTTTCCTTGTCTCAGCACTGCATGCCTTAGGGGTCTCCAATAGTTAACAGATATGGAAAGCTGTATGGAGTTTCCTCAGACTACTAAAAATGGAGCTGCCATATAACCCAGCAATTCTAATCCTAGGGATCTACCCAAAAGACACAAAAACATAAATTCAAAAGAATACCTCCACCCTTATGTTTATTGCAGTACTATTTATAATAGGTAAGAAATGGAAACAAACCCAAATGCCCAAAAACAGATGACTGGATCAAGAAGATGTGGCATATAGACACAATGGAATATTATTCAACAATCAAAAAAGATAAACGAATGCCACTCACAGCAACGTGGATAGAGCTAGAAGGGATTATGCTCAGTGAAGTAAGTCAGAAGGAAAAAGAAAAATATCGGATGGTTTCACTATATAGAAATATAGGAGAACCAAGTAAGACATCAGGGGAAAGAAATCACAACAATAATAATAAAAAAAAAAACACAGCACAACAAAACAAAAATAAACTGAAAACTATAAATCAGAGACATTCTGCAGGGGAGGGAGAGAGAGAGGAATAAAAAAGAAGGTGGGAAGAACAGAAGGAACTATGGTGATGGTGCAAGGGTGAATTGATGGTAGAAATTCTATGGGGACTACACCTGAGAAAAGAAAGCAAACATTATAAAAAAGAACAATGATGTAAAATTCATATAAATAGATAAATTATTTTTAAAAAAGAAATTTACCCAAATAAATCCAAACTTAGTTTTTTTTTTTTAATATAAACTTATGCTTGCAATAATACATATTTGGAACTTCACAGTCCTCTGCATAATGTTCATTTTGTAGCATCACACAGTGAGAATTACCAGATGATGAGTCTCTTATTCTGAAATAAAGACAAATGTATAATTCTGTTGTTATATAACATTGGGATAAATCAAGAACAATAGCTTATTCTTTTGATTGCAATACAAGTATAATTTGAAAATAGATAAAGACAATTTTCATAGAATATTTGTAAGAGTTGGGAGTTAGACAAACTGAGCTGTCCTTTCTTTAATATTTTTTCAAGATTCCATTAACATTTAACAACATTCTTCATGTCTATAATTGAAATCAAATGCACTAATATGATTCTTCTTATGTTCCTTTTCATACCTTTCTTCTCTTAGGTAACATTATTTAAATAAACTTACTGTAGTTGGGAAGCTGACCCATTTAACAGCGTCCATGACCGATGACCGACGTTACGGTAGACTCCAATCCATGACAAAACTGATATGGAGTTCATAAATTTCTATTCAAACATAAAGAATTTTCACTTACATAGGAATGATGAAAGGATTCCTTTTTAAAAAAAAAAAAAACACAAGCAATATGTGATTTCCCATTATCCTACACTTTCAGAATGAAGTGACAGATTCCAACCTCACACCACATACACACAGTGTGCTAAAAACTATCGTGCATGATGCCACAAACTCTCACCAGCACATCATCATTACATAACAGGAGCTCCTAAACATTTATACTTAGGAACTTCACTCTTTTATGTGAACAAGGAAAATCTGAACCAGGCCGGCGGCCTGTCAGCACCAACCTACACCAGGAGGAGGCTCAGGGCAGCCATTCCCCACTGAGGTGAGGGGTTCTGTCCAGCAACCATAGGGCAGCCTGACAAGGGTGATGCCTCAGGACAGTGGCAACAGTCAGCAGCCAGGACTCACTTCACCTCCCACCACCAGGGACTCATGAGCAGGGCTGGGAGGGTGGCGTTGGGAAAACTAAGGGGACCCTCTGACTGAAAATAAAGAACCCAGAAAGTTTCTTTATCTCTGAGAACTGACATACCCCACACTTAACACATCAAAAAGAATGGATTTTAAAATGGTATATCATAAAAATCTGCAGTGAAAATTAGCAAACAGCACATAAATGCAATATGCAAATAAATTAATGAGGAATTATAGGGGAGTGACAGGACAGGAACAAAATTATATACTGTATGATTGCCTTTCAGTTCATAAGCAAGAAAAAGATCTCTGAAATTAAAAGTCAAGTCAGTGGCTAAATAACCAGACAGCAGGAGTGAAGAGAGAGAGACAGGGTGTCTCAGGTATGCTAGGGGCTGGGACTTCTACTTAGGATCTGCTCTGAAGATACAATTTCATTCCCTTGGTGATTAATCTGCGGGATCACAACATGCTCACCTTTCTTGATGTGTATTAAATAGTAATCTTTATTTTATACACACACACATATATATATATATACACACACATATAGAAAATATGGTTCTCTGTGAAAGCCAAGAACTGGGTTTTTCAAGTGTGCATTAATGGGTCAAAGAGTTTAATAAAATACCTCAAAGACAGACAAAGAAATGTTATACAAACTTTAAATAAACTACAAATTTTGAACAAAAATATGTATGGATTCTATAAATATAAAATTAACCAGAATAAGTCTTCATCAAAGTGGTTGGGACACTGAAATTCTTACCATTTCTTCTTCAGTGTCTATGTAGAGCAGCTGAGAGTTCATACACTGACAGGCCCTCACGCTCTCATTCCAGGTTTTTTTTTCAGCACTAAAGTAATAGCAGTTGTTGGAGTACGTAATCCACTCCTTTGGACAAGGCCAGCAATGGTATTCTGAAGGGAAATTATGAATTATTACCTAAAACTACTTGGATTAATAAAATGACATATCATATATATGCTGAGATTTGAACATACATGTCCATGACACATGCACACACCTCACAGCTAGTGCATACAACACACACTCAAGAGAAAAGGTAGCATCTCATGCTATAAATTATGTGTCCATATGATCCAAACTCACACAAATAATAGCCACTGTATATGCCCTGACAAAGAGCTAATAAAGTCATTTTTAATAATAACATTATTTATACATATAATAGCAGCAGGAGATGAGCCAATTGGCCACATGGGTGTTTAAGTGCTAAGTGAATTTTCTTCCTTTTGTTGGATATGATGAGCCCCTCATATTATCATTATTCATGAACATTTATTATTTGATTGTGTAATGTATGCTTTACCAAAATATTTGTTACCATTTTGACCCTTAGTATAACAAATATACATAATATAAATTGTGTTAACGTCAGAATTTTGGAAATCATTGTGTACCTTTCTGGCTATTAGTGATGTTTGGGCAATCATTCTGCTCTGAGGAGAAATCATTCTGCTCTGGCTTTTGAGTAGTAGCTAGAAAAAATAAGAGAATCCTTATAAAAATTAAAGTTCTCAGTAATTAAGATTCAATTTAATATTCCAAAAATTAAAAATGAATGTTGGTAGTGTTATAATCATAATAATAGAGTTATAATGATAACGTTGAGTTTCTGAAAAAAATAATAAAAGAATAAAGCTTTGGGGAAAATATCACAATAATTTAGAGTCAAATTTCAGCATCTCCTACATTATGTACTCACCAAATTTCAAAAAAAAATTCATAGTTTTCAATAGAGTCTTTCAGTCTCCGAAAGCATGACTTTGAATTGTGATACCTGGATCTACATAAAATAATCTCCAGAAATAATTCTGTATCCTTGTACTTTTGAGGAGAGATTAACCATTCAACATTCAATTAAACTGATATTAACATATGTTCTATTCCTTAATATTATGAAATATTTAAAAGAACTGACAACATTAAGTGAAAAGTTCTATTATAAAATTTCATAAATGTACCTACGGGAAATAATCCACACTGGCACAATAATGCCTATGAAGACAAGGCAGGTGAGTCCCAAGATCCCAGCAATGCACTTCTCTGGAGGTGCTGCTAAGCCTGCAGGGAGAGAAATGGAAATGCTGAGAAAGGACACAAGGAGACAGGTGTTCAGTTTGCACACAAGAAAATCTACATGCTAAGGGAGACACATACATATATTTGACCCTGAGACCTCTATCTCCCACTGGAATCTTTCCCCCAGAATATACCATTGTTGTGTTTAGTAAACAAAACACCCATGAACTATTGTTTTTCAACAATTACAAATAATAAAAATACCTGGCAAAAATAGCCATCAGATTCCCTACTAGACTATCATATTCCAATGCCAAATTCTCAGCCTCACAAATGAAAAACATGTCAGTTTATTCCCCATTCTTTGTGCACCTCTACCCCTCTGCATCTCCCAGAACAGTTGTGCTGTGTGTCTACTCAATGTTTTACCTCTGAGGTGACAGGACTTGCCATTCTTCTGAGGATCCCGAGCAGCATTGTGAAGACTTAATTCTGCATAGGTTACTCCCTGCTCCGTCACAGTAGTGGACCTTTTACTCTCTTTAGGTTTCACTTGTGGCCTTTTTGAGTCCTTTGCCAGCTTCAGCTCTGCATAGGTAACTCTTTGCTGGTTCATCTCTGCTGCTCTGTAAAGTCAGGAACTGCGCTCTGTGATAAATGCTTCTCAGTCTTTAAAAACGGTCATAGGACCAGATTCCCTGTGGGCGGAACGTAAGTTGAGTGATAGACTCATATTACAGTTGAACAACACACATATCTGGTCTGAAGTCCTAGAGCACTAAGGTAGTGTCACCAGAGGCAGATCCCATTACTCTATCATACAGAAAATGATGTAAACAAATATTACCTCAATGAGAAAATTTTAAAAATATGAACTCCTAGGAACTTTAAACCTATGTTTCATGAGAGAACAAATAGTTTTTCAAAGGCTATTCCATGCTGACACAATAGTATTGTTTGGAAAAATGAAAAACAAAAATTTAACCAAAAAGGAGAAGTTCATGACCGATATTATCTTTATTACCTTAAAGTCATATACCACAGCAGCATCTTAACATCACTTGTAAAACTGTATTGAAATCCGAATGGTGGCTTAGAAAAAAATGATGTTCCCATTTTTATGTCATTTTTAAAGCTAACAGTTAAAGATTGAAATGTTCTAATTTGGAGAAATAGCAGTGTTAGCATTTCCTACACTAATTATTTTTATTTAGACATTTATTGTTATTTATTAAAAGGGGATGAGGTGTTATTAAATTCTCTTGTTATTTTCTTTCAAAATATGTCTTTCATTATTGTGATATTCTGAGAAAGTTTTAAAATTTTAAAGAAATTTTTTAATGGCATGCTAAGCTTGTGCAAAACCTAAACAATAATAAAAACAAAACAACAAAAAGTAATATATTAAAATACATAAGTTTAAGTAATATAAGACATTTGTCATTGATTTAATAGCTAGATAAAAAACCCAATATGATGCATACATTATTGGTTCATTCATTATTGGACAACATTATGGTTAAAACTGCCAGAAAGATACTGTAACTCTCCCAGTTAATGAATGGTGCCTTAATTGTGCAAGTAATTGCAATAAATAAAAAACAATAATTTTAGTAATTCAGTCAATAGACTGTAATGAATGGGATGCAGAATTAATTCTGACTTTGATACTAAGTATCACATTTTAATTTTAACTCAATAAAAAAGAAAAAAGACAAAATAAAATAGTTATATAGTCTTTCAAATTAGTTTTAGTTTACTAATCTAATCTGGAACTAGGATTATCTAAAATATAATACATGTAAAACATCATACTCAACCTGACCTTTGTAAGCTGTCAATAATACATTCCTTATTTTCATTATTATTTTGATAGAACCACCATGTTTTTCCTGTTTCATAAATTTATAACCTGTAACCTAATTCATCAGACAGCAGTTTGTTTTATTAGCATGGTATTTTTTGTACAAAATTTGCTTATTTTTAAGCATTTTGTATACTTTTAAATTCAAAATAGCATTTTATGGAAACTATCTCATCTTGATTTCTATTAAAATTAAAATCTTTTATATTGGCTCTAAGTATGTAGATGAGGAATTACCTTTAACCTTCATGATGGAATGAATTCATTTTAAGAGTCTAATTTTAAACATTGAGCTAAATACAAAAATATATGGAATTATATCAGTATTGATTATGAATTCCAAAGTAAACTCTTCTTTGTTGTGATATGGTGAAATTTCAAGTTAAATTGCATTGATTTACAACTCTAATTATGCACGGATATTAGGAACTTGACAATTTCTCCACTGGAAAGAATTCAAATATTTTGATATTTGGATATTTTGATATTTGAAAATCCTCAAAATATTTTGTTTTCTTCTTCTCTTTTACCTGAATTACTCAAATAAAGACACCAAAGTTCTCTTTGATTTGACTGCATATGAATTGCATATCATTTGATTCACATCTAACCTTCATAAAATTCCACTAGAAGACATGGACCAGCAGAGGGAGAGGAGAAGAGCAACACATACCTTCTGTTGGCTTGGAAGTTGTACATCCTTGAGTGAAGGAGGAGACACCTCCACACTAATCTTCACAGGGACTGGCCCACAGAGCATCCTACCAGCAGTGCAAGAGGGTTCCCTCTTCTCCACCTCCTCACCAGCACTTGTTCTGATCTGTGATCACAAACAATATCTGTGATGTTTAGAACTGCCCTGTGCAGTTTCAGAGTGAAGCAAAAGTGGAAAAAGTAGATTTCTCATGAATGTGTTACAAGCAGTTTGAACAGGAAATTGTTGCACTTGGGCTATTTTGAAGACAGTTCACCTCATCACACACCTGCAGACTATAGGAGAGGCTGGGTTTATAGTTGTCATTTATTTTTCCATTTTCAAATGCCTCTGAAATATATCAGGGACAAAAGTGTTGAACACCCACGCTTGTAACTTGTTTCCATAGCAATCATAAATGCTGAAAACTTAGGCCTTCTTAAGATTATCTTAGATGCTAAATTCTATTATAAAGCAAGACTCATAAATCTTGACATTATATGCTTTCCCTTATGCTCCTATTATATCGTTTATAATACAATGGAAAATATAATATCATTATTCTATTACCAATAGGTAAATAGGTATTTAATGATGTTTGTCAATAAATATTCCAAAAAATCACTACATTTTCAAATTTTCTATAACTATAACAAAGATCAATACCTACATTTATTTTCTCAACCTCTCTTCTCTACTCTTAAACTTCCTGCATTCAATTTTATTCTTTATAAATAAGCTATTTAGATTTCCCCTGATTAAAAAAAACAATATTAAACCTTATTTTCTTCCAGTGACTGAGATATTACCACCATTCATTCATTCATTCTCCAATTATAATTGTGTTTCTCCCCATTCTGGGATACAGTTTTAATTATTTTTTTATTAATTAGTTTTTTTTTTATTTTTTTACATCATTGTTCATTTTAAAACGATATTTGCTTCCCCCCACCCCCTCAGGTATAGTCCCCATCGAGTTTCCTTCCCCAGTGCACCTGTGGACCATCACCTCAGTCCCCTGTGCTACTACTTCCTTCCCTCTGATACCTCACCCTCTTCCTCCCCTGCAGTATTTTTCTGATTTATAATTGTTTTTCCTTTGTTTTGTTTTGTTTTTTTTTAAGATTTATTTATTTATGGAAACAAGAGCTGGGGTACAACCAGAGATGCGGGGCATGAGAGGATTCACCAGAGACAGAGTAGGGAACAGAACAGGCAGATTGACTGAAATACACTGCTGAAGGGAACAGCAGGCGAGTCAGGAGAGGTCTGCTACACCATGGGGATTGCTCCCTGTTGGGGGATTGAACTCTTGCTGCAGAGGCTATGGATTGCTTCATAGTGTGGTGCTTAACCCTTGCACCACAGGGAGGCCCATGCTTTGTTGTGTTTTTTACTGTTATTATTATTTTTACACTGATGTCTTATTTGGTTCCCCAATATTCCTGCTATAAGTGAAACCATCCAAAATTTTCCTTTTTCCTTCTGGCTTATTTCACTGAGCATAATTCCTTCTAGCTCCATCCATATTGCTGCAACTGTCTTGATTT